AAAGGGAAAAAAGATGGGGAGAGAGGAGGTTTATGTGTCTGGTTCTAATTGATATTTATGGAAGGATATGTTGGAACTCAAGATTATACCTGGTATACATATACTATACAATCCTTTATTATATCAGCTTTACACATATTCGTATATACATATATGTAGTAAATGCCCTACTCCAAAAAAGTTTCTCGAACCGTATCTTTCCAAGTACAACTCAGATTCTCTTGACTATCAATGTGAACAACTATCAACGCCAGTACTGCCAATTCGCAATTATCTCTATTTGTATGTTTCAACAAAGCCAAATTACTCTCAACACTATAATCAAAGCGGACTTTCTATATCAACTAAGGTATTGGAGGTTTATATATAAGTAACAAGAAGTTAATAGACGTAATTACAATTCCTTAGTCGTTATCTATATCACATGATTAAGACAGCACAATTTAAATAGGCGCAATTAAGATATACTTCATTATAATTCACATGATTTAAGCTAATCATGCTACATACTCATTTAAAACTCAGTTGAAAAGAAAAATGGGGTTTACGTAAAAGTTTACAAACGTAGATAGTTAATAATGTACAATGAACTTCAGGCTACAGAATATCATGTTTACCCAATATTTATTACATAATTACAGACAAATATTCAATATTCCCTGTGCTATCAAATCCTAATTCTAAAAGCAACATGTATTTACTTCTTGTGGAATCTAAATTTGTTAGGGGTCATGCGAGACTGAGATCTTGGATAATTCTGAAACAATTACTACAAAATTTTGCAGGCTTTCTGCACCATAGTTTCAGTAGAAGTAAACATTTCTATTTACTGATAGCTCCGATATAAGGATTTATCTCTAATTGGATAATGAGCTAGATAGAAAGATAGACGTTACCCCCATGCAATTTCTATTGGTTCAGAATAGACACCAAACACATGGCTGAACCCTGATTGGATCAGATGCTAATGGACTCGGCATACTATAGTGTCTGGGTTTCATATAGCAATCTTAGAAAATGCTAATTTTTGGGTCACCATTTTTTATTCCTTACAACTTACAAGCCATACACCTTTTACGAAACTCTCAAAAAAGTTGGGCAATAGCCTTTTAAACAAACATGCATTAATAGTTTAGAATTATGATATTGATTTAACGCTTTCTGTAAAATGTCGAATATTCTTTGTTAAGATGTCATCACTCATCATGTCACCTTAACATGAAACTTTTTAATTAACATTTTCTCTTTCTACTTTTACATTAGTTCAAACTTTAAATTCAAATATTTAACTAATTATTTAGAGTGCTGATAGATATATAGATAATAAATATATTAATGATAGACACAAAGTTAATAGATAAATAACTGATAGACATAAAGATAATAGATATTTAAATGATAGACACAAAGTCAATAGATAGTTAGCTGACAAATATATAGATAATAGATATATTAATGATAGACACAAAGTCAAAAGATAAATAGCTAATAGATATAAAGATGAAAGATAAATTAATAATAATTAGGTGGTAGACACAAAGTTCATAGATAATTAGCTGGTAGACACAAAGTTTATAGATAATTAGGTGGTAGACACAAAGTTCATAGATAATAGACACAACGTTCATAGATAATTAGCTGGTAAACACAAAGTTTATAGATAATTAGATGGAAGACACAAAGTTTATAGATAATTAGCTGGTGGACACAAAGGTCATAGATAATTAGCTGGTAGACAAAAAGTTCATAGATAATCAGCAGGTAGACACAAAGTTTATAGACCATTAGCTAGTAGACACAAAGTTCATAGATAATTCGCTGGTAGACAAAAAGTTTATAGATAATTAGCTGGTAGACACAAAGTTCATAAATAATTAGCTCGTAGACACAAAGTTCATAGATAATTCGCTGGTAGACACAAAGTTCATAGATAATTAGCTGGTAGACACAAAGTTTATAGATAATTAGCTGGTAGACACAAAGTTCATAAATAATTAGCTGGTAGACACAAAGTTCATAGATAATTCGCTGGTAGACACAAATTTTACAGAAAAAAAAGAAGATAGACACACAGTTAATACATAAATAGAAAATTGCTAAACATAATAGTATTTGGAAAATAATTAGATTTCTGATAGACACAATGTTAATAAATAGCAGAAAGACACAAAGAAATTGAGTCTTTGTAACAAACTGCGATTTTATAATCCCAATATCTTTGCAACCCAAAGTCGAAGACCTTAGCTGTTTCAAAATTTGAATTCTGTAAGATCAAATATTCGCAGTTTAAAATATAAAAGGTTTACACCATCAGATTTCAAAGATATAGGAATGAAATGATTTGAGTTTATCTCTGCTCTTTAGAATTTTGCATTTGTCTACAAGAGTCAGTTAAAGAATTATAGTTAAAACAAAATTTTAAACAGTTTCAAATCATCTTTTTCTTCAATAAATATAAAATCTATTTTATTGATATGATGTCTTAGAGATTAAAATACAGGTTCCTTAAAAATAGTTTCTACATACCTCAGACTTAAAAAACTTAAGCTATTGAATCTTAAAGAACTTTAAGTGGAAATTCGCGCAACTTTATCAGTTCCCACAATTAACATTATACATACAAATTATTGAAATTTAAATAAAGTATTTGGTAAAATTCTAATAGATGTTTGCATTAAAAAGCGTATTATATTAAGTCCATTTGTGAGGTAGATATTGAAAACAAAACATTTTATTTATTATAGTTAATGTATATGTTTACTATATAGTGAAGGTATGAAACTTTGCAACACATTGTCAGGGGTTGGTTAAACTTAATACAAAGTTTATATAGATGGTTAGACTAGAGACATTTATTATCAAACTCAAGGGGCAAGGGCAGGGGGGGGGGTGTTATTGTGATATCTATATTTATATTTATATTTATATTAATTGGCATTATTTTCATGATGAGGGGAAATAAATATTATATAACACTTCAGTCATTGATTTGTTAACAAAATAAGTAAGAAAGAAATTAAGTCTTTACCACAAACTCTGATTTTCTAATCCCTATATCTTTGCAAGATTGCAGCCTAGTACCGGGCACTGTTAAATCAAATATTTTATAAATCAAACGTTAAACAGCCTGCAAATATATAAAGATTGAAATCCTGGCAAAGACTCTATTTCTCTTTAAGCGAATTATTTAGAAAAATACCAGTTTGTAACAAGAAGAATACCATAGAAATTGGAAAAAGTGTAGGAAAGAAAAATAATTGAATCAAATTTTTTAACATTCTGCCTCATTTCTATGTAAATTTAAAGAAAAAAGTCTATAATATGTCCGTACTCCATAGGTTGGTTTTTATTCAATAGAAAGAAGAATGGTAATGAAGGTAGGGAGGAAACGAGTGTGAGAGATATAAATTAGAAAATTTCTACAGAAAGGTGAAAACTGTTAGAATATATTTTACAGGCCGAGCTTCAAATAATAATTTAGAGCTGTGTCTATATAAAAGAAAGGAACTGACAGGACTCAGGCCGGACTTTTTATATCTATCTTCAAGGTTTAATATCAATCCTGAACAATATTTAGTCTTTAACATTTTTGTAAAATCAAATCAAAGAATAGGACTGCACATGGCAATTTTAGATGTCAACAGTATAAAGAAAATAAACCTAATTTCATGGCTTGTTGTTTTTGTTACCTAAAATAGATTTTTATTCCCGTGCTCTCCTCGAACCATGATACTTATTGGAACATTTTACTTTATAACAACAATTTACATTTTTACAAATATCACCAACTGTCGGCCATTGTTTTCAGGCACGATTGTACAGGTGTACAGTTGAGATTTATTTCACGGGGTTTGGGTATTTACGGTTAAACGGTTTCCCGCATTTTCTTGTTTCAAAAACTCCGTAGAATCTAGAGAGAGAGAGAATACACAATACCGTATTGACGGAACCCAATCTTAGGGTAAACTGAACTGGGCCGTTGCGAGGCTACTCAGCCGGCCTCTGCCCCAGGTGAGGACGAAAAAGGCTAAAAATTCACTAACATTCGGTTACAATAGATTAGTGGAGACGGAACAATAAATTGAAAAATGTTTAACATAATGAAAAAATTGATTTTTATGATAATTATACTTTTGTTCCAAACTTTTTGTCAAAAATTTTACTTTTATTAGGATGGTTTTATGATACACTGATGCATTTACTCCTGGTAAAAGTCAAATGTAAATATTGGAAAAGAATGACATTTGAAAATTGCTCTTTAAAGCTGAAACAATAATAGCAACATGAAAAATTAAATAAGGCTTCAGTGAAGACATTATGAAGCTTTACCATTTTCAATGTTAATTATTTTAAGTAAGAATAGAAATATACAGTGCGTCACATTTCATATTGGATTTAACGCTGAAATACGCATATAATACTCGAAAAACCTTTAAATTATACATTTTTTCAAATGATTCAATATTTTCAAATTTTCTGATTAGTCCCGAAAATCACAATTTAGAGCCATAATCGATCTGAAATAATGTACGCACAAAACACTTGTAATTAAGCGCTTTATATAATAATAAAAGTGTACATATGATTTTGCCCTTAGAGTTGAGATAGGAGAGATACATTTCCCTAGTCCAATTTTTCAAGGCATGCTCAATTAAAAAAATGACCTCTAACTTTATTGGTTAGATTGCAAGGAAGGATTTTTCAAAAAGTTAAAAAGTACGTTGAAAAATGTTTTTAAAAAGTTATTTTCACTTTTCAGAAATATTAACATGTGACGCATGTCATTAAATTATTTTTTCTAGGGCTTTTCAAATATTTTGGCCCTGTAAACTAATTAATAAAAATATTATTAACCATTTCTGATTTTTTTTAAACACCGACCCATCATTTGACTGCCCTCCATCCTACCCTTGCATCAAAAAAAAAATAGCTAAATTTGTTAACAACCATGGAGTTAAAAAAGTGAAAAAGTTTTAGCGTTCTAATGTGTGCTGTTTTTAAGTTATTTAGAAAAAAACAACAGGGGGGAGGGGGGGAAACAAACCCAGCCTCCCCCCTCAATCGTGATAGGGTTAAGTGGAGATTATTGGAATCACAAATAGAGTAAATTTCTATTTGAATTATTTATACATCTATTCAGTTTAAATTTATCTCAGGTGTCCTAAAATATATTTATACATCTATTCAGTTTAAATATATCTCAGGTGTCCTAAAATATATTTATACATCTATTTAGTTTAGATTTATCTCAGGTGTCCTAAAATATAATTCTTTCAATGATTTTGAAACTAACATTTGAGAATATGACTGTTTGTTTAGTTTAAATTTAATATTACTTAGCTATAGAAAATGTACTGCAATAGAAAAAATGGAAAGTTTTGAGACATTCTTTAATCTTCTTTCCTCTTCGTCTTACATCTGTTTTGAGACATTCTTTAATCTTCTTTCCTCTTTGTCTTACATCTGTTTTGAGACATTCTTTAAACTTCTTTCTTCTTCGTCTTACATCTGTTTTGAGACATTCCTTAATCTTCTTTCCTCTTCGTCTTACATCTGTTTTGAATAGTGTTTTAATTGGATAAAAGATTGTTATAAGAAAATTGAATATGATAAGATTTAATTTTTAATACTTTCATCTTAACCTTGCATCATAGATATTTTTATCTTTTTGTTATGAAAATGAATAAATCTTTTCTTAACATTCCAATTTTAAAATTAAAAGAACCCACTCCATCTGAAACTAACAACTACGAACTGCACCCTGTCTGTATCTAAATATTTTCATTCATATTTTTTTCTCTTATTCAAATTTGTTTAACAATTTTGTAAGAAATAGTATATACTTAAATATTTGTAATACAAATCACAACAAAAAATGTAAAAAAGCAAATACGAAAAATCTACATTTAAGGGTTAAAAAAAGGTTCTAAAGTTAAGACTCATCGACTTTAACCAGGACCTTTAGTTTATCGTGACTCATCTGTCTCTTTATTGAATGTGTTGAGTATGCCACCAATAAGTTAAGCTCCGTTGACCCGATTTAAGTCAATTCCGTCCCTTTAAAAGTTTTCAGTTTTCTGGTCTTATTTTTTTCCAGCTGCCGTAAACCGTGCAACAAAAACCAAAAATTACAATATTTTTGTGTAAATCACGTTTGAATTATTGTTATTGGCTCGAAGTATTTTTTTAACGATGCAACTTCCAGTTTCATTTCCAATCCAATTTAATGTAGAAGCTTTTACTTGTACCCTATACAACATTTTAAATTAGATTTTAATTAAACTAGTTAACTAATTATCTTCAGGCTTTAGGCTGATTTAAGCAAACTATTAGTGCATTTATGCACAATGATGTAACACCTAATTTCACTCGCATTTTTCATGCAGTTGTTATTTTACAGTAACCCTCCTTGAAAAGATGTTAATGCCCGATTTAAAGTTTTAAAGGCACTGTCTGATCAAGGATGGGTTAACTTATAGTTATTATAATTGTGATTTTGAACAAAGTGACGTGAGCATTTCTGCTTCAGGAAAAAATCGAAGGAGATCATAATAATTTTACACTTGTCAGGCTAGCAAAACGACGATATCATCTACATTATCTACATTACATAAAGGCTTAGAGGGTATAGTTTAAAATAGGGCATACGCTGATTTCAATTTAACTACACATCGTAGTGCCAGTGAGCATGGGGGCTAATGCATTCGTGCCCTAACTACGCAGATAGTGTCGTCACTACACAGATAGTGCCCTCACTACGTAGATAATGCCCTCACTACGTAGATAATGCCCTCACTACACAGATAGTGCCCTCACTACACAGATAGTTCCCTCACTACGTAGATAATGCCCTCACTACGCAGATAGTGCCCTCACTACACAGATAGTGCCCTCACTACACAGATAGTGTCGTCACTACGTAGATAATGCCCTCACTACACAGATAGTGCCCTCACTACGCAGATAGTGCCGTCACTACACAGATAGTGCCCTCACTACGCAGATAGTGCCCTCACTACGCAGATAGTGCCCTCACTACACAGATAGTGCCCTCAATACGCAGATAGTGCCCTCACTACACAGATAGTGCCCTCACTACACAGATAGTGCCCTCACTACGCAGATAGTGCCCTCACTACGCAGATAGTGCCCTCACTACGCAGATAGTGCCCTCACTACGCAGATAGTGCCCTCACTATGCAAAAAGTGCCGTCACTACGCAGAGTAGTGCCCTCCCTACGCAGATAGTGCCCTCACTACGCAGATAGTGCCCTCACTATGCAAAAAGTGCCGTCACTACGCAGAGTAGTGCCCTTACTATGCAGATAATGCCCTCACTCCGCAGATAGTGCCCTCACTCCGCAGATAATGCCCTCACTACACAGATAGTGCCCTCACTACGCAGATAGTACCGTGACTAGACAGATAGTGCCGTCACTTCGCAGATAGTGCCCACACTATGCAGATAGTGCCCACACTATGCAGATAGTGCCCTCCCTACCCAAATAGTGCCCTCACTACGCAGATTGTAATACAGATAGTGCGCTCACTACGCAGATTATAGTGCCCTCACTACACAGATAGTGCTGTCACTACGCAGATAGTGCCCTCACTATAACTTTCGACGTAAGACTATACCCCTCTTTAATTTTTCGCGAACACTCCCTTTAATTAAAATAAAAACAATACATGAAACTGCATTGAAATGAAGTAAGGAAATGCATAAGTAAATATGCAGTTGTTCTCACAATGGCCTTAAAAGGAATGCACATCCCTTCTTTTTATTATAATAATACTGAGGGAAAGGAAATGTTTGTTCAGTATTTTGTTTCCTGTTATTAGACTCTATATATATATAAACCTTTATAAACACAGAATATAAGAAAGAGGATATTAACGCTTTTTTTCAAACAATGCAGTGGTTGGAGGGGGTGGGGAGGAAGAGAAATTATACATGGCTTTACCCTCCCCATCATTTTGTTTCGTTCTTTTATCAAAGTTTTCTTTTTATTATTCCAAGGTATTTTGAATAAAATTTTTTCCGTGTTCTTACTTATAAATGGATTTTAAATTTTTACGAACTGTTTTTCCGTGTTTTTAGCTTACTTATAAATGTATTTTAAATTTTTACGAACTGTTTTTTTCGGTAAATAATTCAAAATTTACACTTGCTACAAACCACTTTTGGATCTAATCGATTCTCCAGTTTTAATTTTTTAAATAAAGTTCTACCTGTCTACCTGTCTACTTTTAAACCTGTCAACCTGTCAACCTGTCTACCTGTCTACCTGTCTACCTGTCTACCTGTCTACCTGTCTATAACCTGTCTACCTGTCAACCTGTCAACCTTTCTACCTGTCTACCTGTCTACCTCTCAACCTGTCAACCTGTTTACCTGTCTACCTGTCTACCTGTCTACCTGTCTACTTGTCTACCTGTCTACCTGTTAACCTGCCAACCTGTCTACCTGTCTTCATGTCTACCTGTCAACCTGACAACCTGTCTACCTGTTTTTCTACCTGTCTACCTGTCTACATATCTACCCAACTTCTTACTGATTAGCTGCTTACCTGTCTATCTTCTGACCTATCAACCTGTCTACCTATCTGCCAAGCTACTGGCTACCTATACTTGTCTAGTTGTCTACCTATTGCCCTTTCTACCTGTCTATCTTTTGACCTGTCAACCTAGTCTAGTTGTCTAATTGTCTACCTATTGCACTTTCTACCTGTCTACCTATCTGCCAAACTACCGGCTCCTATACTTGTCTAGCTGTCTACCTATTGCCCTGTCTACCTATCTGCCAAGCTACCGGCACCTATTCTTGTCTAGCTGTCTACCTATTGCCCTGTCTACCTATCTGCCAAACTACCGGCTCCTATACTTGTCTAGCTGTTTACCTATTGCCCTGTCTACCTATCTGTCAAGCTACCGGCTCCTATACTTGTCTAGCT